TGTTTCGAGCTTAATTCTGTCGACCAGCGTTTCGTCGAAACGTTGTTTTCTCAAAATTTTGTCGAACCGCAAGGCCCGATTTTGATGCCGATTTGCTCCCCTCAACAAGTGCCTTGTCGACGAGCAGTTGCGTAGAGCAGAAACAACACTTCAATTTCGACGTGAGTGACTAAGTTGAGCATTGCGCTAAGTTCATGGCAGAGTCACCAAGTTGCGGAAAAAAAATACACTGTACACAAATAACAACAGAATTGTTTACATGATTACGAATCTTAGACTCCCAACAACAAATTAAATCCAATGTCATTATACAGTCATATTTTTACCCGTGGCGATACGGACGAGAACTGCCCAAAACCCGTTCCTCGCACATGCCGCCAGCCTATCTGATGTTCAGGTAATGAGCACCGACTGTATATCACACCCCGTTATATGTTTATGCACCTTCGTTCTCGACGATCTCACCGGCGGAAGCACTGGCTACAGTGTTTGGACGTAGCGGGCTGGTGCGATAACTCTGTTGCAGGCAAAGTCGTACGAGGCGACTAAACAAGGCTTGAGCCGTAAAAATTTGTTTACGCTTAGTAACCGTCACAACTGCTTTGAAAACAACAGTACCATTATGTAAGGTATAAAACCTTGACTATACGCCTTGGGTCAAATTGTCACCATAACGTATTGTGATAGGACCTTCTTTGGTCCGCTGCAGTTAAACAAAGCGTCCTGGTCCGTCTACCAGATGGCAGTCTAGCGAGAATGTGGGTGTACATGACCATCCCTCCAGGCAAGTTACTTTGACGGATTCGATTGCATGATACTGTACGGACCCCGCAAAACCGACGAGAGATACATCGAGAGTGCCTCGGATCTTGCGCATTTCGACACATTCCTCATTTGCCCACTCCGCCTCATGGATGTTGGGCCTTTGGGAAATGTGTTCTTTTCAGCCACGCCAAACAACGAAGTCGTCGTCATCTGCCAGATCCCTTGGGTTACCACCCTAGCACACGTTTTATGCGCTATCGTGTAACAAAAAGAGGTCGCAGGCTATATTTATTTTCGTTGACAAAGATAATACTATAGTGGCGACCTAACTTGCCTAGATATCAAATTTGCAAAGCATAAAGTGCACTTAGATGGATTTAGAAAACGCATGAGCTGACTGTCCAACGTGTATAAAAATACTATATTAAACATAACACGTACATGCGAAACCAATGTAGCAAAAAAACAGACGTAGCATCAATATACAAGAAAATACATGCAGCATATCAATACATCTCTATTCAAGATTTGTCTTTTTTATAAGGGAATCTGGAACAACCTTAATATAATGAGTAGCGAGCATCATTGTTCTTTATATGCTCCACTGTTTACAGTTTCTTATGTAACCTGAAACCCTACTATGTAGTTAATAATATTCGCATATTATATGTAAGCTATTGTGCAGCGTATACAATCGGTATTTTTATGTCGTCCATACAGAAAAAACTTAAGCATCATTACCCAAAATTTTATCCAAGCCCGGATATTATTGATTTGCTATTTTTATTGGATTTATAATAATCAATAAGCTTGTAAAAATTATTGGATATTTCTATAATGTAATATTAAAGTGCATCTGCAGAGAAATGCTAATTAAATATTGTTGAGTTAGAGCAACAATATATGTTGTGGTTGTAAGGTCATACATACTCTTAGAGAACGATTGTGTGTTAAAACTGTAACGAATTTCAGCTGCAGCTATTGGGATTTGGAAACAGTTTCTTGCACGGGGCCAACTTTTTATTTCGTGAGATTCGATACGCGAGTTTTCCATGGTTGACACTTGCAGCGACAGCCCATCGAGAAACTTGACCTTCGGCACTGTGGGCATTCAACAGAGGCTGCCGTTTGCCTGGTCCCAAAAGGGCAGTTTGTCAGAAGAATTGATTGGTGTGGCTCGTAGTACAATCGGTGCTCATTTCAAGAACACCAGGTAGGCGGGCGGCATGTGAGTGAAACGAGTTTCGGACTTTTCGCCACATTCGCCCTTGTCGCCACGGGCAAAAATGTGATTTTTAAAATGAAATTGGAATGTGAAACGAGTCTGGGGGTTTAAGTTCGTAACCAGGTAAACAATTCTGATGACAGGCAGCCGTTGTTGTTTATGATTTGTAGATGTTTTTCTTCCTCGACTTGGTGACTCTAACCTGAAATCAGCACAATCACCACTCACAGGCAAAACGTTCGCGAGTGACTGATTTTCTAATTGTGAAAGCAAATTTTTGTGATAGGCTGAGCATCGACTGTACAGCTGTGTATGTGAACGCCAAGAACAGAAGGTTTCTACTTTGCGACAGCATTTCAGAGCTTCTAGGGAACTTTTCGAGGGTGGGTTGGTTGTTCTGGGAGGTGAGGTGGTTCTGAAAGGCAGGATTATTTTCTTCGTAGATGTTGACTCCGCGAGAAGGAAACCAAGCTGCCCATGTTTTGTCTAAACTATGCTTGATGCTTGTACAAAAACATATGGAACTCGCTGCGGCTTGCAAAAGAACTGTTGATATCTCTCCACTTTGACCTACTCATCAACTTGATGATGCCATCTGTAGCATCCTTCACTTAGTCCCAGCCTGCTACAGTTCTAACGCGAAGTGCAAGCAACCACCGTCGCCACAGTGTCTTCGCTTGATTTTTTTTATCTCGCCGGAGGTCCTGGAACGTAGTGTTTAAGCTTGAGTATTTTATATTTCACAGACCTTTTTACAAACACGCCCAGTTGAAAGGAACTCCCTAGTACCCCACAGCTGTGTATCAGGATTAGCTTCAAGAGTCAGACAAAAATATAGGCCCAACGCTTCGTTGAAACCCATTTAGTTTCAAAACCGTCAACGCCCTAACTGCGTGCTGCTCGACTTCCTAAACACCAATAATTCTTCAAGGAAAGTATGAGTTTGTGTTTGAGTATTAGGGCGCGTGTCTTTTGGTGTAGAAGTTCAAAAAAAGGTCGAACTTTTTTTGGTAACCATCTTCGCCAATTTCGTTAAGAGCTGTTGACGACGATCGTGTGTCCAAGCTCAAAGTTGCCGAAACAGAAGGACACTGAACTAGGGTCGACCTCGCATTCGACTATCCCCGAGCACTTTTCTCCAATCGTGTGTTCTTCTGCCCACGCACGAAGAAGCTGCGAGCTTCGCGATGGTTACGAACAACGTCGCGCCAGGTTACCAAAGCTGATGTAGGGAGGTTACACCATCTTCCGTCGCTAGATCAACAGTCGGAGCACAGCTTTTGTGGCGGTACCTTTCACGACGAGACTTTTGTACTAACAGGAAATCAATCGAACACTACGGGTAAATCGCTTGGTAGTCACAGCTGTGTGAGACGATGCCGTCGCTGGAATGGCGGTGCTGGTTACAAATCGCCCAACTCAAACCTCAATAACAGCCAATCCACAAAGGTCACCTTGGAACTTCCAACTTCTCACTTTTAACCACACCTGATTTTAACCGCCAAACCCAACTTCTTGTGTCATGCGTGCAATAACTGAGTCTAGTTGCCAGCTTGTTATTCCTCTGACTGGAGGAAAAAAGAGCCGCCTGTTATTTTCCTCTGACCTGGGAAGAACCCTTCGACAGTTTCCGCGACTTGTCTGCCGTGGGCACTTTCCCGACCAAGAACACAATTTCGCGCCACTCCATTAGCAGGCAGCACCTCCACTTTCCACCCCACAGAAACTGCTCTGGGTTCCGCTTTTCTTCCTCCCCCTCTCCTATCCTCCTCTATTGCACTGTACCGTACGTGTGAGAACCCCACAGCAGATTGCTTCATCGCTGATCACGTGCCCGCTGCCACTGCTGCGCCTGCCACTGCTATCTGCTGTGCTGATGGCGTCTGTATTCTTGAATGCTTCCTGCTTTTGTGTGTAGTGCGCTGCTGCTGATGGCATGTGTGCCTGTCAGTGATTTCAGAATCATCCATTCTTGTTCCTGCTATGCTTGGCTTCAATTATCTCTATGTGTACTAAAAAATTCGTCCATCTACGGTGCGGCCAACCAACGCCAGCAACTTTGTACTGCTAATCATCTTGACGAGACGTGAACTTTAATTACCGTGACGTCGATTGTCTCACCACTGGCCCTATCATTCCAGAACACAGCGGAAACAACAGTTCGCGACGAGAAGTACTCACCCTGAAAACCATGACAAATAATGATCGCCCGGATGATTGAGACGAGTTGTGATCGCCAAAGAATCTTAGATAGAAATCTCTGAGACGGAACTAAACACGCTCGATTCGCGGCGTCTGTCACGGCGACGACGCGGTGGCGTGAAATTCATGTCTCCTCTTGTTCAGGGGCCGCTCCCCGCGTGTCGCCCGAGGCGGTGGCGGTGGCGGTGGCGGTGGCACCTCCGCCGGAAGAGGCGCTGCGGCAGCATACGTTTGCCGTGCGAGCAGCGTTTCGACGGCCACCAGCACTAGCAGCAGCAGCAGCAACGGGAGCAGCTGCTGCTACAATCGACGCTGCGCTTCCAACTGCGGCCATCACGCCGGTTCTAATAGTTACTGTACACATCTCCGAGGCGCGATCGCACCAGCAGAGGCAAAGGCGGGAACAGCCGCGATTCGCGCCAAACACGCAGCAGAAGCAGATCAGCTGACGGCCATTGCGGCGGCAGCAGCACGAATGAGCGACAGCACGCCACCCCTCGCGGTCTTCTCCCATCGCGTCGCTCACGGCGGCAGTGGCGGCGGCGCAGAGCCCTCGCGACCCGAAACAGGCTGCACCACGGAAGGGGGGGATGGTTTCGGGAGGAATTTCCGCGGCAGCGCGGGCATAAATAGCTCAACCCCTGTCGGTGGTTGCGGCGACCGGAAAAGCTGGCGCGGAGATACAGTGGGAAGCTACGAACGAACCGCGTACCCTGGGGAAAGTGTAGATTACGGTGAATGCAATAACGAGGATGATAGATTATTTAAACATGCGATTTTATCGGCGCTTCCTGATGTGGCGGAATATATGAGTCCGGGTAGGGCGATCGTCGCGGCTGGCGCTTCGAACCCGAGCGCGCCAGCGTTGGAACTTGAAAGCGCGAGAGACTTCGCAGACGGCTGTGCGACAAACTGCGTCGCGCAGTCGCCGCAAACGACGACAAACGACGAGGCTTGCGACGTCGCAGTAGGCGCGGAGGACCTGCGTGCGGGGAAGTCGACATGCGTCGCAGCGGTTCCCGCCAAGGTCACGGGCGAGGCACGCGACGCGTCGGCTTCTGAAGACGAAACAACGATGGCGATGCGACTTGACGACGACGCAGCGATGACCATTGCAGGGACATGCATGCCTGCGCGTGCGCCGACGGCGGATGCGGAAGTTGCGGCGCGGGGAAGTCGGTGCGTGACGGCTGTTCGGGAAGCGGATTTGGGGCTGCGCGGAACGGGGCGACGGGGAAGTAGCAGTGGGTTGGGGCTCACGTCACTGGTTGTGTTTCAAGATCGCTTTTCGCCAAGTAAATCGTCGCGGGTTGGGTGGGATATTGGGATGGGAGACGACGGGGTGTGATTGGTTGGACAGGGATAAGATTTGTGAAGGCTGGTCGGTGATTGGGTGCGATGCGATGGGGATGGGTTGGTGATGTGGTGTGAAATTGGAAGTCCTTGTGTGTGATGGGGATGATATTTGGGAGGAAACTTTTCTATCAGCCAGTTTGTTTTCCTGCTTGTTGTGTGTGATCCTGTGCTTGTGATTCTGCATGCCGGACGGTGACACTGACGCTAATTCTCACGGTGACGCGGACGTTGACAGTGACGGTGTCGGTAACGGTGACGGTAACGGAGACGGTTCGGTAGACTAGCCCGACAGCAGCGGTGGATGGCCAGATCTGTTGGCGTCGCATGCCATTTTCCCCCGCATCACATGTCACGTTAGGTCATATGTTACAAGGCATATCATCGTGCGCCGTTCGATGATTTGTTAACAGGCGAATTCATGTTTTTTTCGCCTTCGTCCCCTGTTCTTCCGCTTCCTCCCCTGTCCTTCCGCTTTCTCCCCCTTTCCTTCCGCCCGTTTTCCCCTTCCACTCTGGTTTCCCTTCCCGCGCAGTTATATTTTTCTCGATCCACCTACATCAAGTATCGCCGAACCATTTCGTCTCCACGCAACTTAACTTTATCCTCCCTATAAGCTCGCCCGGCTCGCCCGACGGCCGGCCGACCTACACGTGCCTGCCGACTGACACGGAATCGGATCCGGATTCGTTCCACTGCGCCGGATCGTCGCTCGCGCTGCGCCACCTGCTCGCGTCGCGTGCGGCGGGAATCGAGGACGGATGGCTGCCGTATCTGGAGTTTTACGGGGAGGGAAGCGCATGGGAGGGATGCGGGGAGGGGGATGGGTTGGGGGACGGGGAGGGGCACGGGGAGGGGGACGGGTACGGGGACGGGGAAGGGGGCGGGGAACGGGACCGGGGAGGGGGGAAGGAAGGGGGAAGGGGAGGGGGAGATATTAGGGAAGGAGCATGCATAAGCGCGCCGACTCCCTCTGATGGCTTAGCGCCTTCGTCTCGTTTGCCTCCTGCTCTCTCGCCCGACAGGTATGCCTCTGCCCTCTCCCTTTGCCAGCTAGTTTCTTAATGGCACCCCCGTCGCGCACGCTCCTCCCCTCTATCTTCCCCTCCGCGTTCTTTCCCCCACCCCAACCCCCCAACAACCCCACTTTCCCGGGGCCATCCCATCTCCCGTCCCCCCCGTCCCCCCCTTCCCCCGCTTCCCCCGCTTCCCCCGCTTCTCCCATTCCCCAAATCCTGTCTTGCGTTCCTGCTCTTCGTTTCTCGTGCCACGCCTTTGCTCTCGCTTTTCTGACGTCCATTTTCTGCAACCCCCGCAACCCCCCCTCCCCTCCCTGATCCCCCTCCCTCACCCCTCCGTCCTCGATCCACGTCACGTGCTGTCCAATCTCCCCTAGCTTTTCACTATCCTCACTTCACTTTCCAGTATCTCCAACATGGAAACTTCTAGATCGTTCTCTCTTCTTCTCTTCTTCAGTATCGCGGACGTCTAATGACTGTCTCTCCCTCTTCCCCTACGACACCCCCTTCTCCTCCCTCCCCTCCCTCTCCCCCCGCTCTGTCCCTTGTTCCCTCGTCTCTTGTGACGCCCGTGTTCCCACCTTGCCTCGTCTCCCCCTCTCCCTGCCACACCTCTCCCCGCCTCGCCTCTCCCCGCCTCGCCTCTCCCCGCCGTGTCTGCTGCAGCAACCCCGACCTGCACCGAGTGCGGGCACTACTGCAGGACCTGCTTCACGTGCACGCGGCGCTGAGCAACGCCCGCACTCGTGGAACGCGCGTGTGGGTGCAACCGCAGTTTGCTGCCTCTGCTGATGGTGTTGACGCTGCTGACTTGGCTGCGGCTGAGGGTCGTGATGGGGCCTTTGGCAGCGAAGGCGACGGCAGTGGCGACGAAAATGGGGATGGGGATGTGGATGGGGATGCTGACGCGGATGCTGATATTTATGGGGGTCCTGATGCTGAGGCCGATTGTGCTGATGCATCTAAGATTTCTCCTGGTGCTCCTGCTGATACTGGTGCTTGTGATGCTGATGGTACTGATGCTGCCGCTGCCGCTGCTGCTGTGAGTGCTTGGGATGGCACCGCTGCTACAGCTGGTACACCCATGGAGACTGACTGTGCAGCAGCAACTCGCAACCATGCCTGTGTCCACGCCTCAGCACAAGATGCTAACACAACCGCCTCCGCTGCTCCTGCTGCTGCTGTGATGGTATCGGCAGCTGAACCTGTTGCTGCAGCTGGTGACAAGACCAACAGCAGCAGCAATGGAGGTACGGCGATGGAGGTGATATATGAATCGCCGCACAAAGAGACTCAAGCCCAAGCACCACAAGCACAAGGGAAGACATCAGAGGAAGGGCAGGAGGAGGAGGAGACACCAGAGGCGGGTTCTGGGAGCAGACACGAGGATATGCGGATATTAGAGGTTGGGGATTTGAAAGCCATGGATATGACGATGCGGGGGACGGCGCATGAGGCGCAGCAGGAGTTGAAGTTGCAGGGAGATGCGCGGATGCACGATGAGCTTCGGGAAGTGGTCCAAGTGGAGATGCACGAGGAGGCTCGGGAAGTGGTTCGGGAGGAGGGTCGGGAGGAGGTTCGGCACCATGCGACGTCGTGTGCTCCTCCTGCTCTTTTCCCCATGCCTTCTCGTCACCCTGTGCCTGCTCTCCCCACCGCCGCCACCACAGCCATCGCCACCACCGCAGCCACTGCAACCACCGTCACTGCTACCAACAACGTCACTGCTCCTGCTCCTGCTGCTGCCCCTCCTGCTGCTCCTGCTGCAGCTGCTGCTCCTGCTGCTGCTGTGACTGCCGGGACTGCGGGGAATGGCACGAGCAGCATTTATCTCCGTAGGAGCGCCTCCCTCCCCTGTCTTCCCCCCATGCAACCCCCGAGTGCCTTGACATCAACGCTGGCCCTCCCCCGAACCACCAGCAGCAGCCTCGGGAGCTGCTCGCCCGAGCCTAGCATGAAGCCTGGGCCCGAGGCTGTGACTCCAGGCTCGGCGGAGGAGCCGCTGCAGAGGAAAAGGAGGCCGCCTATAGAGAGGATTGCACAGCTGGAGGGAAGTCCTGTGAAGAGCCCTAGGAGGCGGCTTTTCCTGCCCGAAAGACGGAGCAGCAGCAGCAGCAGCAGCAGCTGCTGCGTCTGCTGCTGCTGCCGCTGCGTCTGCTTCTGGTAACGCTGCTGCTGCTACTGCTCTTCCGACTCCCGCTCCTGTCCCTGCTGCTGCTGCCGCTCCTGCTGCCGCAGCGCCAGTGGCAGCTCCTGCTGCTCCTACTGCTTTGGTAGTGGCTGGAGCACAGAGGGAGGGGGTTACAGGAGTGAGAGGAGGAGAGGCCACCGCCTATGCAACCAACTGCTCTGCTTCCTCAGGTTTCCTGAGCACGAGCACAGCATCAGGAAGCGGTGGTGCCACTCCATCATCAGTCACACAGTCAGTCACACAGGGCAGCGGCGGCGGCGGCGGTGGTGGTGGTTCTAGTATGATGCTGTCAGGAAGCCTTCTTAAAGCCACTGCTGCTCTGTCCATGGCTGTGTCTACTGCTGCTTCTGGCATCGCTGCTGCTTCTGCTGTCGCTGCTGCTGCTGCGCCTTCTCCTCTCGCCTCCACGCCTGTTTCTCGCCTATCGATCGGATACATGGGTGGGGGAGGAGGGGGAGCAGGGGGAGGTTCCTTGTTTCCTGTTCCTAAGGCTGCTGCTGCTGCTGGTGCTGCTGCTGCTGATACACTTGCAGCAGGGGTGTTTGGGACCATTCAGAGACCTTGCACCATCGCCAGTGCTTCTCCTGCCTCTCCTGCTCCTGCTCCTCCTGCTCCTGCCGCCGCTGCTGCTGCTGCTTCCCCTTTTGCTACAGCTGTGCCGTCTGCTGCTGCTGCCGCTGCTCCTTATGCCCCTGGTTCCCCTGCCACACTTTCAAGAAGACCCAAGCTTGCTCCCAACAGCCGGCGCAGCCGCCCGAGTCTACGAGTCGAAATACCCCCAGTCCGATGGGCTAATCTGGGGCCTCCCCCGCTGCCGCCCACCCTCCCTCCCCCTCTGAGGCAAGCCGTGTCATTGGAAACGGAAAGAAAGGAGGGTGGGGAAGCAGGAGGCGAGGGAGGAGAGGGGGCGGGGCGGGAAGGGGAGAGCAGAGGGGAGCTTATGAGGAGGCGGGTAAAGGCGAGGACTCCTGGTGGGTCGTTGTTTCGTGGGGTGAGCAGTGGGATTGACGGGGATTTGTGGCTTAGGCCTCATAAGGAAGGAGAGAGGGAGAGGCAGACGGCGATGGGGAAAGTTGATGGGCAGGAGGAGGAGGTTGAGGAGGGTGGGGAGGGAGAGGAGGAGGGAGAGGTGGGTGAGGAGGAGGGGAGGAGAGGGAATGGTGAGGGGATGGATGTGGAAGCTGCGCTGGCTAGTGTGGAAGCTTCGTTGAGGGAAAGAGGCGTGGTAGGAGGATGGGGAGGGGGCGAGGGGGGTGCGGATGGTGGGGGAAAGGAGACACAGGGAGGCGGGGGATGAGGAATGCTGATGAGAGATCCGCTGATGAGACGAGTGCAGCGGCGGATGTGGGACAGTCTATTCTAACACCACGAGTTGCACCACCATCAACAGTACTACCATCGCCTTCAGCAACAGCAGGAGCAGCAGCAGCAGCAGCATTGACAGTTGTGCCAACTTTGCACAGAACGGGAGGAGGAGAGGAGGGCTCAGGGCTGATCTCTCCTATGGCTCTCCTCTCTCCCTCCTCCTTCCTTCTCTCCCCTTCCTTCTCCACCCACTATCCCCTCTCCCCCTTGCACTTCCTAGGGGGGCCTCTACCAGTCAACGGCTCAATTCTTAACGGTTCAGAGGCTTTTGGTGGTGGTATTACAAACGAGGAGGCTACTAATGAGGACGGCCGTCCTGGTTATGCTTATGGTGCATCGCCGTATAGGGAGAACAGCGGCCGTAAAAGAAGCAATGATAGCTCAAATGCTGATGGGTTTTTGTCTTCGGGTGTTGATAACAGCGGCAGGGTCAAGAGTACTGATGATGTTACACCGGCTCTTCCTCCTGCTGCTGCTGCTCCTGCTGCTCCTCCCGCTCCTCTTCCTCCTACTCCTGCTCCTGCCGCTCCGTCTGCTGCTACTTCAGCGTCATGCATCTCCCATGCCGCACCCTTCACCGCCTCACAACCATTCCCCCGTCCGCTCACCCAGTTCCCTACCACCTTCCCTCACTCGCCCTCGCTTTCCGCCCCTCTCCCTTCTCAACCCATGCTGTCTAGACCAAAACCCTTTGTCTTCCCCCCAACCACTCCAACTGCTGCTCCTGCTGCTGCGCTTACCCATTCTTCCTCCTCAACCCGTCTCTCCTCTGTCGCTCTCCCATCACCCCCTCCTTACTCAGCCAATAACCTCCGCCCCACATCTGCCTTCCCTGCTCCCTCCTTCCCTCCTCCCACCTTCCTTTCCTCCTCATATCCCCCCTCCTCCTTCCATCCCCCCTCCTTCCACTCCTCCTCCCTCCCTCCTTCCCCCTTCCCATCCACACTCTCCCCTTCCGCCTTCTCCTCCTCCCCTTTCTCTCCCTCCCCCTTCTCCTCCTCCCCTTTCTCTCTCTCCCCCTTCTCCTCCTCCCCTTTCTCTCTCTCCCCTTCTCCTCCTCCACTCTCTCCGCCTCTCAAGCCTCTCTTATCCCCCCTTCCTCCTCTCGTTTCCGCCCCTCCCTCTATTCCAATTCCGGCCTGCCTAGTCCCAAGCGCCGTTTGAGTTATCCTCTCCTCCCCATTCCTCCTGCTCGCCCCTTCTCTGGAAGTGCCTTTTCTGCTGCTAATGTAGCAGCAGCAGCAGCAACAGAAGCAACAGCTCCAGCAGCAGCAGCAGATGCTACTGCCACTGCTGCTGCTGCTGCTGCTGCTGATACTACTGATGGTGATGCTATTGCTTCAGCTGCTGCCACCATAGCCATGGCTGCTAATCTACCTGCCTCAACTGCTGCTTCTACTCTCAATGGTGCCGCAGCTGCTGCTGCTGCTGCTGCTGCTACTGCTACTGCTGCTGAAGGCAGTTCCTACCTTCCCCTGACATCACCTGCTTCAGTTCCCACCACCCCCCTGACCTACCCTACTCCGGAACGGCTGCTGCTGCTGCGGCAAGCACAAGCACAAGTCCAGGCACAGGCACAGGCACAGGCACAGGCAGAGGCACAGGCACAGATGAGCATGGGCATGGGTACGGGAATTGGTTCTGACACGAGTTTGGATGGGCGTAGCAACATGGTTGGCCATATGATTTCGACCATGAATGGCAATACAGGAGTTAACACTTGCGATGACGGTACCCAGCACAATATGGAAACGGAAGAGTGCTATAAGGAGTACAGCAGGCAGTTAACGGGGAACACCGAGGGGGATACAGCGGGGGGGAACAACAAGGAGGGGGGTGCGAGTGAGAGTGAGGTTATGCATGGGGGTGGCACTAATTTTGTGAGTCTGCTTCTCTCCAGCTGCCCAATTGATGTGGATATGATGAACATGCTTCCAATGTACACTCCTTCGCCTCCTCCTGCTGCTGCTGTTACTGCTGCTGCTGCTGCTGCTGCTGCTGCTGCCGCTGCTGCTACTGGTGGTGGTTTGACTGCTTCTCATTCCAACCTTGATGTGGCTGCTGGTGCGACGGATAGTGCTGCCGCTGCTGATTTGGCTGCTGCTGCTGGTGATGCTGGTGATGCTACTGCTGCAGCCACTGCAGCAGCTGCTGCGTCCTCTCCTTCCTCCTCGTATCTCTCCGAGTCTCCTTGTGCAACCAACGCTTCTGGCCCTGCTGCTGCTGCCGCTGCTGCTGTTGCAGGGCTTGATTCTGCTGCTGATGTGTCAGTGCATGGGAGCTTCCTCTACGCTCTCACCCAGGGTTCACAACAGGAAAACCCCGTAACTCCCTTTGCAGCAGGAGCGAGAGGAGCCACACCAGGCGCACAGGAGGAGATTCTTCCGTTGAGGATCAAAGGAGAGGTTCTCTCACCATCAGCTGCTACAGCAGCAGCAGGAGCAGCAGGAGCAAAGCAAGGTCTAGTGCAGTGGAGTGGAGGGCAGGGAGGGAATGCGGCTCTTGGGGACCTGAAGCAGGACCCACAGGCTTCTGCGTTGGTTCAAGGTCGATTTGAGGGTCAATTCGAAGGTCAACTCCAGGGTCAATCCCAGGGTCTTTCACAGGGTCAAGCCAAGAAGGGGGAGCTTCAGCGGGGAAAGAAGGCAGAGACTGGTGCAATCAACGAGGAGATGGGTGGTGCTGCTGGGGTTGGGAGCGGTGCTGCTGGGGTTGGGAGCGGTGGTGGGAGCGAGGCGGTGGGAGGGACCGCTGCAATTGATGGGGTGCTGAGGCGGTCGCTACGGTCATCGTCAGAGCGATTGAATGAGATGCAGCTGGATGAACTGTCTCAGGTGAGCGGGCGGGATGGGGAGGGAGAGGGGCTTTGGTATGGGATAAGAGGGAGGGGCGCTCCCTGCGGTCGCCTTCAGAGCGGTTGAATGAGATGCAGTTGGATGAATTGTCTCAGGTGCGTGGGATTTATGGGAGGTTTGGGAGGGAGCGGTGGGAGGGAGTTGTGGGAGAGTGGAAGGGAGGGGTGAGAGGCCGAGAATTTTCCTCTTCATTCCTGTTTTCTTTCTTGTTTCCCTTCCCTTTTGCCCTCCAGATCGTTTCTCTCTCCAGTTCCCCCTGTTTTGCCCTCCAGATCATTTAAACCCTAAAGGCCTCCTGTATTCTCTCTTCCCTTCTCCTTCGCCTTCAGTACTCATTCCCCCCTCACCTTTCCTCCTTGCCCATCCATCCTCCCATCCCTTCTCCCCCATCCCTCTCACTCCCTTCTTTGCATATTTTTAGAATTTCAGCATGTGTGCCTAGAGTCTCTTCAGATGTCTCAAAATCCGCCTGTCTCCAACCCACCCCACCCCCTCCCACCCAATCCCAACCCAACCCACCCCATACCCACCGCAGTATTTCCGCATGAGCATCCAGAACGCAGCACGTGTGCTGGGCGTGGGACTGACAGTCCTCAAGAAGCGCTGCCGAGAGCTGGGCATACAGCGATGGCCGCACCGCAAGCTCAAGTCGCTCGACAACCTTATAGAGAACATGAAGGTATGCTTGTAATGGTATATTGTTTCTTGTCTGTCTGCTGCTCTGCTTCGCTGCTCTCTTGACCCCCCCTATTCCTCCCAACCACACCAGATTCACGGGCTCATGGCAGGCGCTGCTGGTTTCTCTCGAGTCCACTCAAGGTTCCCTCCCCTCTGTTTCATTCCCCCGAATCCTCCCACCCCTCCGAACCCTCCCAAACCGCAGGAGATTCACGGACCAATGGCAGCAGAGACAGTGGAGCAGCTGGAAGCAAAGAAGGAGCTTCTGGGGAAGGACCCGAAGCAGGGGCTGGATCCGCGCATCAAGATGCTGAGGCAGGTTGTTAAAGTGTGGCCCCTCTGAACCCTTTTCAACCCTTCCCAACTGCAGGAGATCCATGGGCCGATGCCAGCGGAAACAGTGGAGCAGCTGGAGGCGAAGAAGGAGCTGCTGGGGAAGGATCCAAAGCAGGGCTGGACCCGCGCATACTCCAAGAGGTCTCATGTGTGACCCCTCCAAACCCTTCCCAACTTTTCCCAACTGCAGTAGATTCATGGCCCCATGGCAGCAGAGACAGTGGAGCAGCTGGAGGCGAAGAAGGAGCTTCTGGGGAAGGACCCGAAGCAGGGGCTGGACTGGACCCGCGCATCAAGACGCTGAGGCAGGTCTCATATGTGACCCCTCCAAACCCTTACCAACCCTTTTCAAATGCAGGAGATCCATGGGCCGATGGCAGCAGAAACAGTGGAGCAGCTGGAGGCGAAGAAGGAGCTTCTGGGGAAGGACCCGAAGCAGGGGCTGGACCCGCGCATCAAGACGCTGCGGCAGGTGTGCTTCAAAGCCAGCTACAAGCGCAGGAAGGCGCATACTGGGTCGTCTCTCAAGGCGCTTCAGGGGGAGATGCTGGCTGGGGAGGTGAAGGAGAGGGCAGGGGGAGGGGTGGGAGGAGCGGTGGGAGGAGGGGTGGGAGGAGGGGAAGGGGTGAAGGGTGGTGGGGAGGGAGAGGTGGGGGTGATGGTGGAGGGCGGTGGAGAGTGGGGGATGGAGATGTGATGTGTTGTGTGTGTTGGGGTGGAGTGAAGGGGGGGAAAGGGGAGTTGATAGTGCGTGAGAGAGTGTGTGTGTGTGTGCGCGCGCGCACATCTGTGTGTGTGTGTGAGTGTGTGTGTGTGTGTGCGCGCTCGCGCACACGCACATGTGTGTGTGCGAGTGTGTGTGTGTGGGTGGGTGTGCATGTGCATGGGTGCTACCATTGCACTGAGACCTATACAAATGCTGGCAGCACAGTCGCTCGTGCTGCAAAGCTTACACGGTGTATTACCTTACAAAACAAGGTGTACACCCAAGTTTGAGACATGTCTAAAAGTTTGAGACAACTCCAAACTTGTCTAAGATATTCCAGCAAGATTTTCTGGGCTGCACTGCTGCTTGCTTGCATTGAACTCTTGAGCTATTTATTTACTGTAATATGATTAGGGTGTAATGCCCAGGCATACTGTCTGCTGACAATTTCTGAATGCCTAGTTATGGGCACTGGTATTCTGTTCTGATGAACTGATGCGCAAGTATTATAATTTTTAAACACATTGATGTTTTTCAAAATTGTGTATTGTGAAAGCGAAGCTGCCTGTACCGAATATTTGGCAGCGTCGAAGCGCGCTAAACGCCCTTCTCCAACTACAAAAACCGTGGGTTGGAGTTCATTCCCTCCACCCACGTTTCTCGTTTTCCAACGGCTCAATCAACATCTACGTTCGAGTAGTTCTTTTCCCCGTCCAAGCTGGCTAGAACTCGCACCCTCCCCAGAGGCGAGTCACCCTCAACACTTCTGCAAGACATTTTCAACCACAACCGCTCTACAATGGCGTCTACGCCGGCACTTAACCGCGGCAATTCGTCTGCGCCGAGTTCCGACACCGACCGTAACGCCCGAGAAATGACGGGCGATCGCCGTAACAAGCGCCGGGCAGAGGAAGGATCGCCCGCCCCAACCGCCGTGGACGTGCTGTTGGGCGGGCTCGAGGTCAACAAAAACTCGAGCCCGCCCCAGCAGCAGCACCCCTCGGCCCCTGTGGCGCCTGTGGCGCCTGAGGCGCGTGTGGCGCAAGTGGCGACGGCGGCACCTGCAGCACCTGTGGCGCCACACGCGCCTGACGCGGAGCACACGCCGGCGCCTGTGGCTGGACCGTCGCGTCAGCGCCAGAGGCGCCGAACAGCGACTTCTTCTGACGCGACGACCCCGGCGTTGACCAACGCGTTGACTCCGGACCAGGTCGCCGCGCTTCTGTCCCTGTTACAGCAACAGCCCGCCAGCGTTACAGCTACGGAAATCGCATAACCCGCGGCCTCTGCATCTGCTAAAAAGGAAAACGCAAAAAGAGAAAAAGGAGCGCGAAGAACAACGGCGAACCGTGTTAGAATCTACAGTAAGCAGGAATGAGTGCATTGAATGAAACAGTTGGTACAAGTAGCAAACCCTAGTTGGGGTTGTACCCCATATTGGCTACCCCACTATAGCCTACCAACATTTAACACACCCCCATAGGCAAAGTGGGGGAGAACAAAGGGTCACAAGACCAGTCCAGCAAAGCAACGCAAGCCCAGGGTGGATCACAACGTCACCACACTCCGAGCACAAGCAAAGGCCACAAGGCCAGTTCACATGCAGTGCTAGATATAGTACAAGACAAGCAACACAGTGATCAAAACCTAGCAAGCAAGCAACAAGATATATATATAAAGTACAGTACAAAGAAAGTCAAGCAGTAAGCAAATGAGGGAATGTGTACAGTGTCGCTGATGATCACTAGGCGGGAGCGCCTTGGTGAAGATATCAGCAGTGTTGGCCTTCGAGTCCACGTACACAAGCCGAAGCTGACCGCGCTGCTGAAGCTCTCGAGCAAGAAAGTAGCGAAGAGCAATGTGCTTCGTCCTGTGCTCCAGTCTGTGCTCCTGACACAAGGCAAGGGCCGCCTTGTTGTCACCGTACAGAACTGGAGGAGAACTAGGCCGCTCTCCCAAGTCAGTCAGCAGGTAGGTGAGCCAGCGTAACTCCTGTGCAGCCATGGCCGTGGCGTAGATCTCAGCCTCACAACTAGAGCCGAGAACAGAAGAAGAGCGGGTGGACCGCCACGAGACAGAACCAGAGCCAAGGCTGAAGGTGTAACCCTGTGACGACCGCTGCGTAGCCAGGTCGTCCACCCAAGAAGCGTCCGAGTGACCAGTGAGGACAACTCTGTCGCGTCCTCCAAGCACCAGCCCCATGCCTGACGTACTGCACAAGTAACGCAGCACCCTCTTAGCAGCCTCCCAGTGCTCTCGCCTGTGTCTCCCAGGCGCAACGTAACGAGCAAGGATGCTAAGAGGGTACGCGAGGTCAGGTCGCGTGCAAGTCATCAGGTACATGAGGCAGCCTACAAGCTCTGGGTACGGGCCACTCGGCTCTACGGACTCGTCCGAAGGTGGAGCTGAGAGCGAGTGGCTGGTAGCCAGAGGTGTGGCCTGTGGTGAGGAGAACTGGAAGCCGAAGCGCTGAAGGACCTGCTGCACCATGTGTGACTGAGTCAGGGTAATGGTGCGGCGTGCTCTGTCCCGGGTGATCTGCAAGCCAAGGTAGCTACGCAGCTCACCCAGGTCAGTGCAGGTGTGTCTCTTCTGCAGCTCCGACTTCACACGAGCGAGTGCCTCAGTGTCAGCAGTAGCAAAAACCAAGTCGTCGACGTACACGAGAATGTAGAACGGCGGCAGCGACGTGTCTGTGCGCAGAAACAGCGACGGGTCAGCAGTAGACGGCGCGAACCCAAGAGCCGCAAGTGTAGTCCTCAGTGTGTCGTGCCACTCACGTGGCGCCTGGCGGAGACCGTAGACTGGCCGGCGGAGACTCCACTGGGTACCAGGGGGAAACGACCCAGTAAAGCCAGGTGGGCGGCGCAGCCAGATCTCCTCGTGCAGGCTGCCCTGCAGGAACGCTGTGCTGAAGTCAAGAGAGTGAAGCTCGTAGTCACGCTGAGCAGCAACGTGCAGCAGAACCCGAAGAGTGGTCATCTTCGGGGTGGGGGAGAAGGTCTGGAAGAAGTCGACCCCCTGACGCTGACTGAAGCCTCTAGCAACGTAACGAGCCTTGAAGACAGGCGGAGAACCTGGCGGCCGCTTCACCCTGAAAATCCACATGCCATCGACGATGTTCGCCCCAGGAGGGGGAACCTCGTCGACGTAGGTGCCTGTGGACTTCCAGGATGCCATCTCTGCGTCCATGGCTGTCTGCCACTGAGAGGAGTAGGGACCCGAGATCGCCTCTGCGTAAGTGCGCGGAGTGGGGATGTCTAGTGCATCCGGGTCTCCCTCAGGGGCAAGCAACCAGGCCACGAGATGAGGTACAGCAGCCGCAAGAGAGTCAAAGTCCTCCTGCCTGTCCTCAAGGACGTCCGTGCCAAGAGCACACTCACCCCCGACGGACGGAGGACAGACAGACTCAGACTCAGTAACAAGACTGGCAGTGAAGTCTAGACGACAGGCAGCAGCAAAGTCAACAAGCTCAGCGACAAGAGCAGACGCAGCAGCAGACTCAAACGACGGGTCAGTGACAACTGTGGCTAGGAGACGCGTGACAGTAGGGTGCTCAGCACGAAACCGGTCAGACGCCGGGTCCGGAACGTCAGGCAAAGAGGACGCAGGAGGAGACGGCAGAGGAACAGGCTGCGGAACAGAGGAAGGACGACGGACTACGAGGTGTGCACTGGGGACAGCCGGTGGACGCGAACGAGGAACACGACGACCAGGACGAGCAGGCGAGACAGGACGCGATGCAGGCTCACGACGCTCAGCAGGACTACCAGTCAGCTCCGTGTAAGGAGAAGGAGCAGGCAGCGGCGAGCCAGACTGTAACGGAAGACCAGTAGACGACGGAAGAGTAAGAACCTGACGAAGAACAGAGGCAGACGGCGGTAGAGACGACGGAGACGGCGGAGCGAAGAACAGTCGTGTCGGCGCAGCTGCACCAGTACCAGCAGCTCCAGCAGCTCCAGTGCCTCCAGCAGCTCCAGAAGCTCCAGGCCCAGAGCCGACACCTCGAGTCCCAGGGTCTCCAACCCCTGCGTCTCCAGCAGCAGCACCCCCAGAACCAGCACCTCCAGTCCCAGGGTCTCCAACCTCAGGGTCTCCAGCAGCAGCACCCCCAAAACCAGCACCTCCAGCTCCAGGGTCTCCAACCTCAGTGTCTCCAGCAGCAGCACCCCCAGAGCCAGCACCTCCAGTCCCAGGGTCTCCAGCCTCAGTGTCTCCAGCACGACTCCGAGCTCCAGCAGCGCGACGCTGACGGCGACCGTACCAGTCCTGCAGCTGCTGTGGGGTGAGAGGCACACGGGGACGAAGGCGGCCACTCCAAGGAGACCGCGCAGCAGCAGACTCAGAACCCTCAGCGCCCGCACCCCCAACGGCTCCAGAACCTCCGGTGGCAGTACCCTCAGCACCAGCACCCCCAGCGGCTCCAGAACCTCCAGCGCGAGCACCCTCAACAGCTCCAGAACCTCCAGCTCCAGCGCCACCAGGACTAGGCCCTCCAGCAGCTCCTGAACCTCCAGCGCCAGCACCCTCAGTAGCTCCCGAACCTCCAGCGTCAGTACCGCCAAGCTCAGCACCCCCAGACCCCTCACACTCAGGCTCAGCACCACCAGGCTCTACACCCTCAAGCTCCGCACCCGCAGGCTCAGCACCCCCAGACTCAGCACCTCCAGGCTCCGCACCCCCAGGCTCAGCACCCCGAGCAGGACCACTCGCAGTAGGACCTGAGTCACCAGTGACCTCAACCGGCGCAGTAAAGGGAGGAGGGTCTACCTGAGAAACACCTGAAGGAGCAGGACCGGGAGCGGGGAGGGGGTCTACCTGGGGAGCACCTGGAGCGAGGAAGAGCGGCGGGGGGGGGAGCGAGGCAGTGCGGTAGGGGAAGAGACGGTAAAAGGGAACCGACTCGTCGAACGTGACGTCTTGAGACGCAAAGACACGGCGCGAGGTGGGGTGGTAAAACTGCCAACCAGGCGCGTCAGGGACAAAGCCAAGGAAGACACAGGGAACAGCGCGGGCGGAGAGCTTGTCCGCGGTGGTATCGCGGACAAAGGCACGAGCACCCCAGACCCGGAAACGCGACGCATCGCCAACCTTCCCCGTCCACAGCAATGTGGGCGAGGTCTCCGGCAAGGAGACACGGGGCCAGAGGTTGAGCTGATGCGCGGCGTACCGGACCGCAAACGGCCACAGAAAATGGGGGGCAGCCGCATGGATCATGGAGGTACGAGCGACCTCCATGACTAAGCCAATGCGGCGCTCAGCAACCCCATTCTGCTGCGGAGAGGCCGGAAGCGTGAACGACTGGGTGATGCCGTGCTCCGCACAGTAGGCTGCCAAGAGGTCGGAGGAGAACTCACCACCTCTGTCAGAGTGCAGACG